CCGTGGTGTACCTAATAAAGTGGCCGGTGAGTGTGTGTGTGTGTGTGTGTGTGTGTGTGTGTAGATATATGTATGTGTGTGTGTGCATGTATATGCATATGTTTGTACGTGTGTGTATATAGGTACATGTGTCTGGTTGTGTGTGTTTTGTGTACATTTCTCAGCAAGGTTGTAATTATGGTATCTGTGTGTGGATGTGTTTATGTGTGTATGTGCATGTATATATGTGTATGTATGGGTTTATATACATGAATATGTTTGTGTTTGGTTGCTGGGTGTTTGTTTTCTTCACTTTCTGATGGCCAGATGTCGGGTGTATTGTCTTGTGTGTTACTGGTGTACATTTCACATGTTGTCAAATTTCTATCAGTTTATCTCCTAACATTTCTTATATTTCTTTTTTCTTTATTATAGTATTATAAAAAGGTCACTGATGATGAAGAAATTTAGAAACTAACGTTTAGTTCTGTTTTCTACTGAAGTGGCTAAAAAAAAAATCTGATTTAAGTACTAGCTTCTTGTTTATGATCCCATTTAAAGAGGAACCGCTCATAATGTGACAAACATTTTAAATCCATCATGAGTAGAAAAATCTAATGTTTTATTTTAAAAGTTATAGTTTCGCCACAGGAGACTCACTCCCCGCTCACAGTTAAGTTCTTGTAATGGCACAGTTTTCTTAAGCTCTTATAAATCTCATTGACATTTTACACTCTTGGGTTGAAAGTCCTCTGTTTGCAAATTGTTTGTGATTTAAAAATGTCAAATCGTTGTTTGTTTTTCCTCAACAGAAACACGAGAAAGAAATGACTACAGCCAAGGACAACTGGGAGAGACTAATAATAAGTAAATCATTGATATGACTTTTTCATATTTTCTGAAAGTCCCTGAGCTGTGTAAATAAACATGTACAATTTTTTTAGTCACCAACTGATTAGACACCAAAGCCCAAACTGTAGAAAAGATGCAGTTGGAGCGACAGCAACTGGAGCACTTAGAGATGAATACAACCAATGAGCACAAACTGCAGGGTGAGCTTCATGAGTGAGCTCACAGAATATCACAAAGACACCATCGGTGCCATTATAAAAGCTTCTGCCAACATGTCAGTCGATATGAAGATGGCAGGTGACTTGAAAGTATGTATGACCTTTTAAGACCAGAGGCTCTTTACTGATCTGTCTTATTGCTGGAATTAAGAATTAGCTTGAAAAGTAATCCTTGTTTTGATTTTTTTCTTTGGTATTTAATTCAAAATAAGGAACTTTTTCAAATTGTTTGATACACATATTACTTTTTGAATATGATTAATCTTTTAATCTACTAATCTTTTGCATTTTTATGTAACTTCACTTGCTTGATTTGCATCATAGGAAAAAATAGAAGCACTGCAGCATAGATTGACGAAGGTGAGGCAGGAGTGGTGCTCTGTTCAGCAGAAAAAGTGTGACCTCACTAAGCTTGTTTCAAAACTGGAAGGAAAAATTGCTAATAGACATGTGACGGAAAAATCCTTCTCAAAGGTAGCCATTGTTGTTTTTGGTAAACATAAGAGTTTGTTGTTGAAATCACATTGCCTTTTGATTTATAGCAAAGCCTGTTAAAAAAAATAAAACTCTACACTGTACAGGTTTAATTAGATACATTTTTTAAACAGAAAACAATAATACCCAAAAGAAAAGCCCCTGGAAAACTTGAAAGCTGATCATGAGGTGATGGAACAGAAATTCAGCAAGGTAAAAATATTGAAATCACAACATTTAATGATAAAAAAGATGCTACTGTGATAAAAGATATGAGTCTGTCTTTGATGCAGCTTCAGCTGGAATGGGACGAACCCTGAGAAGATCCAAAGCGTTCAGGACAAAGGTTATCGGGCAAACAGGCTGCTGGAGGTCCAGCTGCAGACCCTGAAAGACCACCAGGAGGAGGTCCAGGCTCAGCTCCACTCTGTGCTCTCAGTCCCCAACATGGACCACACCGCCCTCGCTGAGGTCGCACACAAAGCTAAGGTACTGCTGGTGATCCCACTTTACGAGGGGATGATATTATTTGCATGTATGTTGAAGATAACGGGACAAAATGGATTCACTTGTAGGAAAGTGTTGAGTTCAAAAATGCTACCATCAAGGAATTAGAGTACCAAAAAAAACCACAGTTTCTAAGGTTAGTAATTTATTCACCTCCAGAAAGAAACCAGTGATTGTTTGTTCACTTTTGTACTGACATTTTCATTGAACTGAAAATGTGTGTCCTGCAGGCCTGTAAGGATGTGAAGTTAACCACAGAAACGAGAGATCTTTGTTCCTGATTTGGATGATGTCTCACCACACAGGCAGGCTTTCTGGAAAACAAGAACATAGATCAAAAATAAGTCAATCAAAAGAGTAAAATGACAGAAAAACTTTTTTTTTTTTGCATTTCCATAAATACAAAAGCACATGTTCATAAATAAAGCTTATATTGTTCTGTTTTTCTCACAGTTAGGAACTGGAATAATTCACAACAAAGCCCATCCCTGTAAAGACAAATGTGACTACAAAACCAGTGAAATTACAAATGAACAAAGAGAAAAATCTCATTAAATGCAAGAGCTTATTGATAACCTGAGCTTAACAGTTTTACTCCTAAATTCATTTGTATGATTACAGAAGATCTCTGAGTCTAAGTATGTATTACCCCAATGAGATTTGTCTGTAACAACAGTAAAATAAAAATAAAGTATTCACTCAAGGTTAAAAGGAATGCATACATTAAATGATACTCTAAGGCTGGTGTTGTGAAAAAACTTATTATTTATAATAAAAAAAGCCACATTTCTGAGAAAATTATAGTTAAAGTAACATTTGTGGCTCCATATAAAAGATATTTATTAGAAAAGAGAATTAAAATGACTTTTTTTAAACATGAAGGTTGTGGACCCTAAAACTTCAAACAATAATAATTAACAATTCAGAAAAGGATGCACTTTACATATGATAAACTTTTAACCAGATAATAAATAACAAAATTTAAAACAGTGATTGGTTGCTAACAATTGTGTCAAAATGAATTTTGGTTTTAATTTTGTTTAGTTTTTTTTATTTCTTGACATTTTTTCATACTATAATACATAACGTATAATTTAGTTGTTTTTGCAGAGAATTAGTTTTATTGTTTTGCAATGAAATGAAACAATGAAATAGGACACATTAATGTAAATTGTGCAATTTGTCCAAATGCAACAGCAAAAATAGCTTTTGAAAGCAACAAGTGCACAATAATTCATATGAGGTCTCCAGGTCAGTTTTTCATCAATGATGACTCCCAAAAACTTCACCTCACCAACTCTGCAAATCTCAACACCATCAACTCTAAATGGAACATCAGTTGTTTTCTTTCTATTACTAAATATCATGTAATTTGTTTTATCCAAATTTAATGATAACTTATTTTGATTAAACCAATTTTGTACTTTTACAAAATCTGTTTAAAAGATACCATTAACATTAGCGTTAAGGTTTTAAAATGTAAAAAGGAATATTTTATCAGGGCTAAAAAGTGTACTATATTAACCAGATAGTACACTTTTTAGCCCTGATAAAATATTCATTTTTACATTTTAAAACCTTAACGCTAATGTTAAGGGTACTATATTAACTAGATAGTAAAATCTACCAACCCACGAGGGGGGGAATTATTTTATCCACTGCTGATTTTGTAAGTTTGCCCACTTTTAGAAAAATGAACAATCTCTAATTGTTACGGTTGTTACATTTTTCTATGGAGAATTAAATTATCAACTTAAAATCCAGCTTTGATCGGAGCTGATTTACCTGCATGGATTCTTGTGTGTTTCACAAAACCCTGTTCCCTCCCAAACGCCGCCTTGCAAACTGAGCCGCTGAGATGTTTTTCTCCACTGTGAGTTCTTGTGTGTTTTGCAAGGCTATGTTTCCATTTGAAAGCTGCCTGACAGGTGGAGCAGCTGAAAGGTTTCTCTGCAGTGTGGAGTCGAGTGTGGCACGTTAGACCATACTTGCAAATGAAGCTTTGGCCACAGATTGAGCAACTGTAAGGCCTCTCTCCAGTGTGGGTCCTTGTGTGTTGCACAAGACTTTGTTTCCATTTGAAAGCTGTGTAACAGATAAAACAGGTGAAAGGTTTCTCTCCGGTGAAGTCTCATGTGGCACGTTAGACCGTAGTTGCGACTAAAGCTCTGGCCACATATCGGGCAGCTGTAATGCACGTCTGCAGAGTGGGTTGTTTTGTGTTGAATCAGATTTATTTTACACTGAAAGGTTTTGTTACAAAACGAGCAGCAATAAGGTGTTTTAGCGTGACGTCTCAGGTGAGTCGTTAGACTGTTCTTCCTACAGAACTTTTGACCACAAAGGGAGCAGCTGAAAGGTTTCTCTCCGGTGTGTGACCTCATGTGTTGCACTAAAGAGTGTTTCCTTGTAAAAGCTGCTTTGCAGACAGAGCAGCTGAAGGGTTTTTCTCTTGTGTGGGTTCTTGTGTGTCGTAACAGATATAAATTGTGGCTAAATTTTTTACCACATTCGGCGCATCTGTAAATCTTACCGCTCTCAGATCTCGTGTCACCTACAGTGGTATTGTTTTTTTCTAACAGAGTTTGAAGCGGTCTGAGTTTAACTGCTCTCCTCCCAGTTTCCATCACTAACATCCGTCTCTGAAAAATCAGAGGGTTTGTCTTCAGGGTCTGTTCCTAAACAATGATCCAGTTCTGGTCTCAAATTGTTCCTGTTCCCCACAGCCTGGTTGAGATGTCGCTCTGAAAACCGAGGCTCTTCCTCTTCACTGTCTTCGCTCTTCACATGGACAGAAATGGATTTGAACTTGTCAGCCTCCTCCTTCTCCTCTTTAATACTACGGTTCTGATGCTCAGAACAGAACCCTTCTTTGATCGCCAAAAGCTGCTGAGCTTCAGCTGAAAACCAAAACACAAACAAGCTGTGAATAACAGGAACATAAATCAATTTTATCACATAAATTATGTCAATTATACATTTTTGAAATATTATTTGGACTACACAGACCGTGTTGTGTTCTGCTATTATTTTATTTCTTATTGTGGCTGTAGAAACGTACCTGCTGATAGAACTACTCTGTGTTGGATGGCTCTCTGTGGTCAGCTGGTGTTTTGGGGATGGTGGGCAATCTTCCATCATGTCAGGTCCAGCAAGTTGTTTACGAGCAGTCATGAAAAATAAGTCATCAGCTTCCGCTTTAAAAGTGACATTTGTCATGGTTTGTAATACATGCACTCTTTACAAAGAATCGCTCCGATACGCTGTTGTTCAGCTAACACGTTAAGACAACACTTGCAACTTTTGTCCCTTCCGGGAGACAAGTTAACATAAAATATTGTGAAGGATACTAAATAGCACGACGTCTATTAAGCCACCTTAACAAGACACAATATATAAGCATGGCTCTGCATGAAAAGTACGAAACCAAACCTGAATTTTAAGCAAAACACCGGCTACTAAAAAAAAAAAAAATTGCTTCCGGGTTAATAATAGTTCCAATCTGCTTTCAAAATAAGAGCTCCGAAATGTAACTATCAAGTTACAGGTTTTGTTCCACAAATAGAGGAAATCAATATACGGAGCCAGCATCAGCTTAAAAAACCTTGTGCACAGATCCCCCCCCCCCCCCCGACATTTTTAAAAAGTTGGACAATTTGAGTTTTAGGTTTGAAAGTGTACACCGGAAGCAGTTGTTAGTTGTCACTCAGTATTTGATCTACTGTGACATTGTTTTCTTTGTAGTAAATTTTTTGCCAGTTTTAACACTTTGTAAGAATGCGTCTTTAACGTGAACGACTGAAAGCGGGTCTAAAACGTTCAGGTTTGTTTTATTATTTTAAAATTCTGTTTAGTTGTTCACCATGATGTCGGTGTGAAATACCTGTGCTAAGCTAACATAGCAAAGTCGTTCGTTCACAAACTGTTTACGTGTTTAAATTGAAAAAGGGTAAGTCTTTAACATATCAGATGCATGTTTTATCTATATAGCATGAGTGTACTGATAAATCACAATAGATTATTTCGTTTTTATAAGTAATAGCATCAAGAAATGCTAATATACCTAAGTCCTGGTAGTTAACAACAACAACAACACATTGTTCATTTGGTGTGTCATTCTGTAGTGCTAGAGTATTGTTATGCCTGTCTTATCTGTGGTATCTTTGAAATTTTTCATTGACTCGTAGAAAAAAAGCGTAGTTCATTAGGAAGTGTGCCGATCACCAGAAGATAATTCTAAAAAGTCATTAAAACTTTTAATTTAAATGGCATTATCATTTAATGAAGTTCTTTATTTACAGATAGAGCTGAAGTGTGCTGCTCTTTTAAAACAAACAGAAAATAAATAGAAAAATAGTGATGAAATAGATTTTCGGGACTGTTTCTAACAAATGGTCCTATGTTAAAACTGCTTCTTCAGTAAGTATTTTTCTTACTTTTTCAGACCACCTCTGAACGTGGAGGGGTCAAGATAACTTTGTTGCATATTGAGCCTATTCGCATCAAGTGCATAAGTGTTATTACCAATTGATAACTCAGGTTGTTAGTGCCCACATACCACTTTAAAATTAAAGAATAAGACATGTTGCCAATTTTATGAACTTCTCTTCATCAGTTTGAATGAGCTACGTGTGGCACTGCCCACTTATATAGTTTTGTAAATTATATTACATTGAACTAAACACTTCACTGTGTCTCATTGTTGTTGTTTTTCCAGCTGGCCAGCAGCTGTTGGCAGAAAAAGCTCTTCGTCAGAAAAAGCTCTAGTCTGCACCTGAGAGACCATCGTGTTCAAGATGAACAGAAACGGTGTCCTCTCCGATGTTTCAGAACCTGTAAGTAAGGTCGAAAAATACTGTGATGATCAGAATCTGAGTTGCTTTTTCTGCGGGTCGGAATTTGCAACAGGAGGACTTCTGACAAGACACATATCTGACCATACAGGAGAGAAGCTGCTCACATGTGTCGTTTGTAAGAAAACATTCAGTTTGGAGTCAGAGCTTGTTATTCACGTGTGTGGTGGAGAATCCTCTCAGCATCATCAAAGCCAAACCGAGGAACCGATTCCTGCCTCCAAACAGTTCAGCTGCTCTCAATGTGAGGAAGGATTTTCCAGATCTGAAGACTTAAATCTTCATCTCAAGTTGCACACAAGAGAGAGCCTGTTCCGTTGTTCAGTTTGTAAGGCCTGCTGCAGTGACAAAGACTCGTTAATTCAGCACATGAGGATCCACACGAGGCAAACGCGGTTCATCTGCCACGTTTGTGAAAAAGACTTCACGTGGAGAAGGCACCTGACGAAACATATGGAAGTCCACAAGAAAAGGAAAAAAGTGTTCCGCTGCAGAGCTTGTGGTGCTGAATTTTGCACGTATTATCTGTTGTCGAAACATAAAGCTGTTCATCGGTTATCAGAGAGTCCGCACATCCAGACTGAAGAGAACAGGGAGGAACAGGAACAGATGGAAACAGCAGCTGATGGAGAAGACTTCGGAAGACCAGAGAACTTAAATACAGACCCGCAAACACAACAGGAAACTAACGTGGAGGCTTTACTATCCTTAAAAAATAAAGAGGATGAGTTTTGGAAACAAACCAGAGAAACTGAGTCAAATTTACCATCTGTGAGACATAATGAAGTCTCTCAGAGTGACACAAAGACAGACTTGCAGCCTTTTACATTAAAGGAGGATCTGAGTCAACACACAGTGTTTGATCCAGAGATACAGAAGGAGGTGAAGCAGGAAGATCCAGAGCCTCCACAGATAAAAGAGGAAGAGGAGGAAGCTGAGATCACCAACCTCACATTCAGTCCTGTCCCTTTAAAGACTGAAGAAGACGAGAAGCCTCAGTTATCGCAGCTTCATCACAGTCAAACGGAGCAGAGCAATGAGTTTTTGGGAGAACCAGAAGAAAATGAGAAGACGTCAGCGCTCTCTGACCCAGAGATTGATGACAGCGACTTATGGAAACCAAAACTTGAGTCAGGTTCAAACTCTGAAAGTGATTCTGGCAGAAATCTATCCAGCTGTTCTGATAACAAGGTGACCGAGTCGCTGCAGCCAGAAAGTGACGATAGTGTCGACAGTGACTTTTTTAAAGACTACAAAAAACCACAGTCAAACTTAAACTCACTCCGACAAGAAACCACAGAGAAAGGAGCAAAATATATTTCAGATTTGAAACCATACAGCTGTGCTCAGTGTAGTAAAGCATTCCGCTTCAGTGTCTATTTGAAATCTCACATGAAACAGCACACAAACCGGTACATTTGTTCTGTTTGTGGTCATAGATCACACAACAAATCAAATCTGAAGGTCCACCTGAGAACCCACACAGGAGAGAAACCGTTCGGCTGCTCGGTTTGCAGTAAAACGTTCACAAACAAGGCGAGCATGCTGTCTCACATGACTGTCCATGACACAGAAAAGAAGTACAGCTGTGACGAGTGTAAGAAAACCTTCGCATGGTTTACAGAGCTGAAGTACCACCAGTGTGTCAGTGAGTCCTCAGGTGAACGGACATACGGGGACGATTCAGGTATAAATCTGAAACGACACATTTTGTACAATGTAACGAAATGAAATGCTTTATCTGCGCAAGATTTGGTGAAAAAGGTGTTTACTTTGAATTGTCGTGCATGAAAATATGGAAAAAGTTTAACCTTTGTGTTTCTACTATAAATAAGAAAATAAAACCTAAACCATGAAACTTATCGTCAGACTCTGTTCTACTGTGAAGCTTTAAAACAGTAATTTACTGCATATAAGCACCCATTATTAATTTTCCCACATTTTATTTGATTTTATCTGATTTGCCTTCATTTTTGTCAGGTCTGATTTCAGTTTGTAAAAATTATGTTTATCAGATTAAACTTTATAGTACTTTAAATTATTTTTAATCAGTATTTCAGGTTATATTTTTTGGATGCATGACCCAATAAAATAATAGTCCATACTGTTTTATTTCTAGGTATAAAAATAGAAAAGTATACGTTTTATAAAACTTATTTTGCAGATTTACATTTTAATAACGCCATATTGGACTTTTGCACTCATTTAGCTTGCTTTTTATATTATATACCAACTGTAATTGCTATTTCTATAATAATTCAGCATTACAGCCCGACTCCAACAATGATCTCTGAGCTTCATCTAGTGGGCATTACCTGTCACTACTCTTGGTACTGATCTGTGTTGATGACAGAAAAGTGGTTTAATGTATAAAATATACATTGAAGTTTATTCTCATTTAACATAACATGTACCTCAACAAAACATACTTTTAAGACACTGCGTACACGTTATTCATCTTTTTTTAATTGATAAACTCAATTTTGCTACCACAGTATAATGTAACACAAGGAGGGGGTGTTTCGTTTTTACACCGTATTTTGGCGTCGAAGAAGAAGTGGGCCGACCCCGGAAGTGTTTTTTTCTCGAGGCAGCAGTAAACAAAGATTTGTGTGCATTCTCCCTTCAAAGCCAGACTTCAATTTATATCTTAAGCGTGTCTTAATTTAAATGTTGCTCCTTATATTTTTTGTGAATACATATTTTTTCTTTGACTTATCTTCCGGGAGCGACAAAAAGCCTAAATGTTAGCCCAGCACGTTAGCTTTGAAGGTCAGTTTCTGATCATGGAGAGGAAAACCTGTAGACATCGTTGGAGAAAAGACAACTAACTGAGGAAGACAAACTAACACAATAGGCAGATGGACTCTGAAGCTAATGGTATGTGCTGCAAGTTTCTATGGGTTTATTTTCTATTAGTTTATACGATTGTATATTTCTCTTTTATGTAAAGTTACGGGTGAAAATTTTTAAAATTGTAAATTAGACATAAATGATTGAATTTATATAATTGTGATAAAACGTCCTATAATTTGTTTGCAGATGTCCAGCAGCTGTTGGTTGTCAAAGGGGAGTTTCCTCCTGAGCAGCAGAACCGGTTTCCCAGTCTGGACCAGGAGGACCAAATCCCACCACAGATTAAACAGGAACAGGAGGAGGCCGATGTCACAGAGTTTATATTCAGGCCTGTCAGTGTGAAGAGCGAAGATGATGAAGAGAAGCCTCAGTATCTTTTTCCCAGCGAGACTGTGAAAAACAGACACTTTGTGGGACCAGAACTACACCAAGTTCAGTACTTGGAATCAGATTTTAAAGACAAAACTTCAGATTCTTCAGAGACGGACGTCAGTGATGGAAATTGGGAGAAGAGCAATGAACCACAGTCAGGTTTGAACTCTGTCAAAAACAACCAGGTTCCAGTAAGTGAGACAAAATGTGAAAGCAGTAAAAATATTTACAGCTGCACTAAATGTGGTAAAACATTCACACGCAAGTCCTCTCTGGTGAGACACAACCGGATCCACACGGGGGAAAAACCTTTCAGCTGCCCTGACTGTAAAGCAACTTTTGCTTTTAAATATCACTTAGTTCAACACATGAGCGTCCACACCAGACAGGAATCTTACAGCTGCACCGTTTGTGGTAAAACCTTCAACAGGAAGAAATGCCTAATTTCTCACATGAGCCGTCACACCAAACCCAACAACTGCCCAGTCTGTGGTCGAGGATTTGCTCACAGGTCTAGCCTAACGTCTCATAGAAGACTTCACACGGGAGAGAAACCTTTCAGCTGTTCCGTCTGTCGGGCAGCTTTCAGTTGGAAACAAAGTCTTGAATTCCACATGAAAACCCACAGTGGGGAGAAACCTTTCACCTGTCCCGTCTGCCAGGCTGCTTTTAAATGGAGAGCAACTTTTGATCGACACAGAAGAACCCGCTGTGGAAAACCTTTCAGCTGCTCCGTTTGCAAGGCTGCGTTTAGAAAAAAAATGCATTATATGGTACACACAATGTCTCATAAAGGTAATTAATCGTTCGGCTATTTAATCTGCCGTGGAAAGTCATGAAGTGTCTAAGGAAAAAAAAATGTCTCGTAATACATTTTAGCATAACATGAAAGGTGCTCTAGTGAGAAGAGGTTCTGCATTTAAAAAAACTAAATTTCTTCAAATTTAGTTTCCTATGAGACAGTTTTAATGTTTCTGACAGTTTTTGAAAGTTCTTATTTCACACTGTTTGTCCACTTCTTGTGTTTGGCTGCTTTCAGAGAAAAAAAAAAATTCTGAGCCCCTGAATACTGGCCTGTGAGTCATGACATTAGATAAATGTGCTGAATTTTAATGCATCTTTCAGACTGTGTTAGGCCTTTTCTAGATAGTTTTACCTAAAAATGGAAATTCAGATTTTTTTTCCTTTTCATTTTTTTAAATAGTTCATCCTGTAACTTGTCCCTGTTTTAGTCCTCCACTTATCCAGTGTTCTCTCTCTTCTTTCCCCACAACACACTTTACTCACTTTTAAAGCATCATGTTGGTACTTTTTATACCAAATTGTCATCTTTAAGGTTTTGCAAAAATGTGCCATATGGTCCAAAGTGTTTTAACTCTGGATAAACACATTTTAAAGGTCCTAAATGCTCTTAATAATGTTAAACTAGTTAGAAATAAAAGTTTTGCCCACACTAATATTTTTTGTGTTATCACTACAAAATGAGTTAAAAATAACAACATACACTCACCGGCCACTTTATTAGGGACACCACGCTAGTAACGGGTTGGACCCC